TCCTCAAAATCAAAACATTTGTTCTTTTATTGCCTACGGTCGTGTTCGTTGTACTTCGCCCAATCGCTGTACATTTCAATGGAAGAGTTTCGCCTTTGCTTAATTCGCCTTTCTTTAAGAGAATGCATTGATACGAAGAATACAGTGCTTGTAAGTAACAGGAACATGGGGGAAGGTGAAAGCCAGTGGATAAGAAGAGTGACGCACCTTCAAGTATATTGTGGAATGGATGTACCGCTTAGCATTACTTTTAGAACATACAAGCTCCTGAGAATGCCGTTTTAGGAATTTTCTACCTTTCTGATTGGTCGAAACCTTTTTGACGAAATCGAAGCTTGTTTCAATTAAATCTTCTTCTCTATGTCGTTCACTAGCCTTACGTACGGCTATTATAGAAATCACAAGCAATTTCATAATGCCCTTCCGTCTCTCGCATGCCAATGATTGCAAGCGGCATTGAATGAGCATCCGCCATCTGAAATATATTGGGAGTTTTACTTCAGTAACCATGCATATTGCGAAAACCTGCTCTTGCAACAAATTAATGACGAATGAAGTTAATTTGATAAATTATTTCCAGCTCAGAAGTTTCTGAATTTTGGCGCCCATAATTTTCGACACCCCGTATTTCTATATTGTATTTCAGCTATGACAACAGGCTAGCTTTGATAGAAAGTTTTATCCAGTTGGTGTTTTGAGCAAATCGTTGCCTTCAAGGTTCCAGCAGCGAACTGAAAGTTCGTTGTTTGTCAACTGTCATATCGGATTGCAAATGAAGCAGCATAGTGAACAGAGTAGCATCGTTCTGGTAGGAAGTGGATNAGTTGTTTGCTTGGTGCTCTTTCAGGTACTGAGGGTACTGATAAAAGCGTCATCCTATAAAGAAAAAGCGCTGACAAAGGTATTTCCTCCCAAGAACAGTGCGACGCTATTGAGAAAGGATGAGAATGAGTTCGGGAGTTTTGACAATTACCTTCATTCGAGGAAAATTACTGTCAATATTAATCTCAATCCATCACGTGATTCTTAAGAACTTTAACGGTAACTTTTACTATTGAACAATTTTCCTAACAGTTCACAAAGCGCCCCGTATGGTATGGAGGAAGATGCCGAACAAATTTCATCCCGTCGACAAAGATAAATTGGAAGTAGTTTCACTTAAGAAGCCGACCAAAAAACTTGTGTAGAGCACAAGTAGCTCCATCGAATAAACAGTAAGTATTTTCAAAAATGGAAAAAAGCAAATGAGGAAAATATAATAGCTTTTGAACTTACCCCCAGCTCAATAATGTCTGTCTACTCAAGTGCTAGCAATCAGGCAGGAATTCAAGGTCATGTTTCAAAATCTCTTAATAGTAGGATAGAGAAATCACCAGTTTGACTTTACCTAACCAAGATTGAACCGTTTCTTTGCAGATGCTTTGCCCATGCCGAGTTTAACTTCAACAAACGGACGAGGAAACCTGTGGAATATGAAGGTATAACGCTTTCTTCCTATTACCATGCATATCATATACTATAATAAATATTTTCTATCCAGAATATGTTTCATTTCACTTACTTGAAGCGGCGCTTTGTGCGTTCATGTCCAAAGCTGACCATCGGAGAATGATACAAAGGCCTTCTCGCGACTCTGAACATGGATGAAGCAACTTTGTAAACAAATCATGACAGAGATTAGTGGGAGACACATGTCTTTGTGGTGTTCTTAACAACTCATCTAGCTTCGGAAAGTTTTAAACCTGATCCTATTTTCTTTTGAGAGTTGCGTCCATAAATGGTGGCGCTGACGAGACCTTTTTTTCTGTCCCTTGTGCTAATATCCGCATCCCGGAGACAAATGCGGAAATAGCAGTCAACTTGGTAGGATTGATTTATCTTCACGAGAGAAGCAGCTGAATAACCCTTTAACCCGCTCTTCTCCGGATGCATGGAAAAACTATCTTATTTAATATGTTTTAGGTTTTAAAAAAATCATATAGTTTTGACTGTGTTCCATAGAAGCATCTTCTAAAATTGTCCTATCCAGCCCGATAAAGTTCCTACCATCTCATATCAGCTAGCTGCTAGCAGACCTCGTTCATAGATTGAGGTAACAATGATTCACCGAATGGGAGTGAAGTGCAAATTAAATGGCTACGACCAGGATTGCCTTCTTGCAGAAAAATCGGAATGCGAACTGCCGTTTATTTCTGGTCTAATACGATGAGCTGGTCTGAGAAGGGTATCTCTCACTTGAATTGCCAGGTAGAGTATATCAATTTCGAATGGGAAAAGACCAGAGAGATGATTACGGAGACTAATTTTATCGTTTTCTGACTTATGCAAATTGAAAGTAAAATCGTTATGATGTTTCCTGTAATATACCGGCCAACCTTTTAAGTCTACGGAGAATTACTGGTGAACCTTATCTCATCTTCCGCTGTTTCCCTATCTTTGCAAGTATCCCACAACC